GGCTCCAAAGCTCAAGGCATCTCTGCAGCTTGCCAGGACCAGGCCCTCACCACCTCTCCTCTGAACCACAGACATCCAGCTGCACCTGCCTGGCAAGTCCTAGGTCACCCACCTGGTTGTGGCTGTAGAGGAGGCCGGGAAAGTGGATTTCTGGAAAACAAGGAAGGGAATTGAGAAGGTGCAGGGGAGCCAGGAAGCCTCACCAGTGGCCACTATGCTGACCCTGGCAACTTGAATAAAAAGAGAGTGGCTCATTTCACAAGAGCTCAGAAGTCTTGGAAAATCTCCCTTCAGGCGTGGCTGCATCTAGGCTCCACTAGCTCACCATGACACTCCCCTGGGCCATGCTTCCTCCAGCCGGCTTTGTTCTCAGGCTGCAAATGGCAGCTCCCACCAACCCGATGCCTTCAGATTCGTGTGGTTACCGTGTCCAGGACAGACGCAGGGGCCACCAGAACTGACCCCTAATTGGCTGACTTAAGTCATTAGCCTATTTCAAACCAGTTATTGAGGCGGGGGCCTCGGGGGTGGAAAACAAGGATCTGAACCATTTTCAGCAAAGGACCAGATAGTATTTTTATCTCTGGTCAGGCTGTCTGTCGTGACTCAAAGCCACTGTTGGGGCAGGAAAGCAGCCATGGGCTACGTGTAAATGAATGGGGCGTGGCTGGGTGTCAATAAAACTTTATTTATAAAAATGGGCTTCCAGCCAGCACCTCACTAGACCAAGCTGACCAGAGCCCTTCATCCCACCAAACCCTTAAGGAAACTTGGGGTGACATGGCCACAGGACCAGAGCAGCGTGATCCTGGTCAACCCTCCCTCAGAATCCTAAAGGCCAGAAGCTACCGAGGGCTGCCACATGGCTCCTGGGGGAGGCCAGCAGGTTTTCACTCAAGAAAGGAGAAGTGACCCCAAGATTCAGGCAGGCTGCTTTTGGGGCAAGGTAGTGTCCCCAGCAGAGGGAATGGCCCGGGGCCAGGTGTCAGACACCAGCAGTGTGTGCTGCAGGGCCTGGCCAGAGCAGTGTCTGTGCATTCACGGCATCTCTGGAGAGGGCTTGGGGTCCTGGCGTCCAGCACAGTTTGCATACTCAGATCCCCGGGGTCAGGGGGATCTCGCAGGGGAGCTCACTGGCCTTGAGTCCTCCACCAGCCACTGCAGGGGTCACCTGCCTGCCTCACTGACAACGGGGTGGGACACCCTCCTCCCTGCTCCAGGCCTGCAAAGCTCCCCCCGCCCTGAGGCCCTCCCACCACCACCTCTGCCTGGAGATGGTCCCAGCAGTGAGTGTGTAATGTGGCCCAGCTGCCATCTCCCCTGAGGACACCAGGGGGACTGTCAGCTCCACCTCACAGCTCTGCCCACCCCCAGGCCCCCCGGGCACCAGGTCAGCCCCTAGACTCACAGTAGCACAGCCCTGGCTGAGGAGGGCTGCCCCCTCCCACCCAGTCCCCGGCCCTCCTGGAACTTGTTCACAGGCCTCAGCGAAGCTCCCTTGAATGTCCCCCCACAGCGGTCCTCTGCCTGGGGCCTGGCCGCCCAGGACCCCATGTGGCCACAGCCCCAGCAAGGGCTGTCCTCTCGCACCCAAGGACCGCAGGGCTGAGATCAGGCACGCAGCTCCCTCCCAGGTGTGTTCTCACCCCTAGAACACATGGATCTCCAACCATGGCCTGAGTCACCCCTGCCATCCCCCAGCAGGCACCGTCTCCCTTGCCATGATGCTGTGCAATTCAGAGCCCAGTGCGTCCCATGGCGATGCCAGCTCCCTGTCCTGCTGGGGGATGATCTGACACCTGGGCGACTCAAAACATGTATGATGAAGGGAAGACAGAGTGAGCCCCAAAGCTCCCTCCTCTAGAGCCAGGTCAGCCTCTCCAGGCCTCCCCGGGTACCCAGCTGCAGGCTCCGGGCTCCGGCCACCTGGCTCAGGAGCAGAGACAGCTAGGAGATTCCAACCGACACTGGACATTGGGAGCGATGGGGGCGGCAGCTGTCCGCTCTGGAGTTTAACAAAGACGGTTCCTCCCAATCCTGAGATGAGATATTCTATGGCTGAGCGTGGCCGTCGTGTGAGGAAAGGATCCTGCTCCCCAGACGTGGCTGAGATCCCACTTTGGGTAAATCCACAATTTTTCTTCCTAACAAGGTGATTGTATCGGGATGTGAGTGCTTGCAGCTGCAGGTGACAGGCAGGGCCCTTCCTACCAGACCCAGAGCTGGGCCGGGCCGTGGGGTTTTCAGCCCCGCTTAGAGCCCCAGGTCAAGAAGCCTGATTAAAGGACTTTCTCTGAGCTTTTGAAATAGAAACGACACAGTGCTTGTCTGGGATTAAATGGGAATATTTTTCCATCCGTGACAAGGCAGCCCATTGGTGTGGGCTCTGAATTCTTCTGTTGCGTCTCCATCCTTTTTCGGAACGTTGACTTGGCTCCTGCCTGGAAAGGGGACCAGCATATTTCATTTTTGTGCATTTATATGAAGGCTATCACTCATTCCTTCATTCATTGATGAGAGGCCAGGCCTTGGGCCAGGAGGGACAGTCGCCATCTGTATGTCCTTGGACCTTGTTCGCCTGACGTCTTTGTCCACTGGTCTGACGGGGCCTCCACACTCATGACAGAGGCGTGCTGAAAGGGCGCTTGTGGGTTGGATGAATCTGCGTCATCTCACAGCCTCCTCTCACACCGGCACTGAGACTGGGCCCAGAACCGACGCCTCAGGGCCTCTGTGTGCTTCTCTATCCTTGCAGGACTCGCCTGTGGCAGACACGGTCGGCTGGCTCCCCAATGCCCGTTTCCCACCCCTTCTCCCTTTCCCACCTGACAAGGCTCCCTTCTTTGGGCTGGTGGTAGCCGTGGGACATTGTCCTGGCCAACGGAGCATCGGCACAAGTCAGCTGGGGAGGGGCACTCCGGGAAGACTCTTACCGAACGGACAGCTGTGCCTCTCAGGCAGCCAGAGGGCCAGGCCAAGCTGCAGGGTCCTGACCACTGGAGGCAGGGGAAGGACAGAGCCCTGCCCTGATGGGCCTAGTCACCTGCAGCCCTGGAAGGTCAGGCTCCTGTGTTCAGGTTACCCCAGAGCAAGTTTCTGTTCGCTGCACCCGAGGGCTCCTCCCTGCCTCCTGGCTAAGGGCAGGTGCGAAGGTGGCCTGGGTAATGCCCCAGACACCCTGACGGCCTTGTTTTAACTTAGTCACCTCCTTAAAGGCCCTATCTCCAAATACAGTCACACTCGGAGGCCTTGGGGGTTTAGGGCTTCAACACGGAAATTCCAGGACACACCATTCAGCCCCTAACAGTGCCCCACGCCAGGACACAGGGCTTCCCACCCAGGGACACTCCCCACACCAGGACACAGGGACCCAGACAGGGCTTCCCACCCAGGGACACTCCCACCAGGACACAGGGGCTTCCCACAGGGACACTCCCCACGCCAGGACACAGGGCTTCCCACCCAGGGACCTCCCCACGCCAGTACAGGGCTTCCCACCCAGGGACACTCCCACGCCAGGACACAGGGCTTCCCACCCGAGACACTCCCTCCCAGTGGAAGGGGAGCAGAGCTGCCTGCAGACGTGCACAGCCCTGTCCTGACGCTCCAGCACCCGCCCTGGGAGGAAAGTGCCTGATCACAGCACTGTCACTTCACAGAGCACTGCTCAGCCATCTCACACAGGGCTTCCCACCCAGGGACACTCCCCACACCAGGACACAGGGGCTTCCCACCCAGGGACACTCCCCACGCCAGGACACAGGGGCTTCCCACCCAGGGACACTCCCCACGCCAGTACACAGGGCTTCCCACCCAGGGACACTCCCCACGCCAGGACACAGGGGCTTCCCACCCAGGGACACTCCCCTCCCAGTGGAAGGGGAGCAGAGCTGCCTGCAGACGTGCACAGCCCTGTCCTGACGCTCCAGCACCCGCCCTGGGAGGAAGGGTACCTGATCACAGCACTGTCACATCACAGAGCACTGCTCAGCCATCTCAGCTGCATGTGGCAACACAAAGGAGTCCCACAGCCACAGTGCTGAGCAGAAGCCAGACACAAGTGCTGGAAGGTTCCACTCACGGAAAGAACAAACCCAGATGAACTCATCTTTGACGTCAAAGTCAGCATGAGCTTATAAGTTTCCCACAACAAATCAGAAGTCAGCATGAGCTTATGAGGTTCCAGCAACAAATGGCCACAAACGGGGGCTTGAAACAACAGGAATTTATTCTGTCAGTCTGAACTCACCAGGGTCTTGCTCCCTCTAAAGACTCCAGGGAGAGCCCTTCCTGCCTGTTCCAGGTTCTGCTGGCCACCCTGGTATTCCTGGGCTTGTGGTGGCATCACTCCAGTCTCTGCCGCCATCTCCCATGGCCGCCCTGTCCGAATGTGTCTGTGTCTTTTCTTTGTGAAATCCCCTCTGCCTCCCTCTTCTGAAGATGCACGTGGTAGCATTTAGCTCCCACCTGGATAATCCAGAAAAATCTCCCTGGCTCATAATCCTTCCCTCCAGCACCTCTTCTTCCTACAAGGGGGCATCTCCAGTTCCAAGGATTGAGATGTGGCCATATCGTCGGGGCCACCATCCAGCCAGTACAGGTGGAAACTTTGGGACCTGGAAGGGGTCTGGGTCTGGGGTGGGGACTGGGAATGAAAAGAAGCACCCATTGTTGAAGCTGCTCCATCAGTGGTCCTCTGCTGCTGCCGCGAGGCTGACGCACCTGCCGGGCAGGTCTGCACACCTGCTTCAGTGGGGCCCCGGCAGCGGTGCTACGAGGCGCGCACTCTTGTGCACCCCCGAGCAGCCTGTCTTCTCTGATTCCTGATCTGGGCGCGACTGACACAGTGTGTTCTGTCTGTGAACATTCGTTGAGCTGGGCTGACACGGTGTGTCCTGTTTGTGAACATTCATTGAGCTGCACACATACGCTACGTGCACTTCTCTGTACATATTTACACTTAACGCGGGTTTGTAACATTCTTTCCTTCCATTTTGCAGTTTGCAGGGGAGGTCCCAGAAAACCGTGTGGAGACCGTGGTCGCAAACCTCACGGTGATGGACCGAGATCAGCCCCACTCTCCAAACTGGAACGCCGTTTACCGCATCATCAGTGGGGATCCCTCCGGGCACTTCAGCGTCCGCACAGACCCCGTCACCAATGAAGGCATGGTCACCGTGGTGAAGGTGCGTACTCTTCTTGCACCCTGCCAGGCACCCCAGGTTCTGCCACCTGCACACTCCCTGGGACAGTGAAACAGGAGTGATACTTGGTGTAAAGTTAGTGCCCCCCTAATATCCAAGGGCAGAGACAGGTAACCCAACCTGCTAGAGGCAGACACAACCTTTACAAGGACCTGTCATGTGACCTGCATGGGCTTGGCAGACCCCCCAGAATACCCTCCCATTCCCTTTTCAATGTCTATATATTTGCTGCCACCCACTTGGGCCAGCATTACTACTCTAGTAATGGGTGAATTTCATTATTAGAATTCCCAATGTTAAACCATCTTTGCATTCCTGAGGTAGATCCCACTGAGTAGTGAGGTAGTATTTTGTAACATGTTGAAGAATTTGTTTTGCTGATATTGGAAGCTTTTCGTGTCCTTTTCTGGGTGATTTAGGCTTACAGCATCCTCACCTGGGTTTTGCTATCAAGGTTACAGACTAATCTCAAGAGTATTTTTCTGTCCCAGAGACGGGTCATGTGATGCTGTAATAATCCGTGCCCTGAATATTCAGTCACACTGTGCTGTGAAGACATTCAGTAGCTGCAGATTTTGTCTTTTTGGTTGTGCTTCTTTTTGTTTTGGAGAGAGATGGGTTTGTAACTGCTGGTTCAATTTCTTTGATGGTTTTAGTTAGAGGTGTTTTTCTAGAAAAGTGTCCATTTAATCTAAATTTTCAAATTTACTTATACAGCCCTATCATTATAGTAGTGGTGATTCAGTCTTCTAACCTAACTCTTTTTCTACACTTACAATTCATATTCCCCTGGAAGGGCAGATTGGGAATTATATCGTAACACTTAGTGATCATTTACAACTTCGTGTGAAGAAGTTTAGCAGCTACTGTCCCAAAATAATTTTGAATAGGACTAAGAAGAAAAGAGCAAGAGTACACTGGGCATTTTTAGAGAAAAGGGCAGGGGCTAACAGAAGGGTGAGCTTAAAGCTGGATAGGATCTGCCAAAGCGTAAGGGAAAGCAAGTTTCGTTTTGGGTTGGATCATTTAGAAACTTCCTTCAGCAGCCCGGAGCAGAGCTTAACCACAGAAGCTTAAATACTGGAGAGCTTTATTCTCTCACGTGAGAAGAGTCCTGAGGTGGGCAGTTGAGGCCGATGTCACAGCTGCACAATCAACAGAAACCCTGGCTCCTTCTGTCCTCTGCTCTGCTGTGCACACCTTTCAGGGCCCCTCATGGTCCAAAATGGCTGCTAGAGCACCAGCCATTACAAGACTTTTACAGGTAGTAGGAAATCAAAAAGGCAGAAGAATGGCTTGCCCCTCCTTTATTGAAGGACCTTCTCAGAACACCTGTTCACATCTTATTGGGCAAAGTTTAGTCACATGACCATTCTTAGCCAGAGAAGACACTGCATAGCATAATTATGGGCACATCTCCCAAACTTCTCCAAGGAAGAGGGGAGCTAGATGTTAGGAGATCACAGGGGAAGAAAATAGGCTTCTCCAGGATCTGTGTCTTTTCTCAACACCCCAAAATCATCTTTTTCCTTTTCTTAATAACCCCTTTTCTAAGTAAGCTAGTGAAGACCAGTTCTCCTGAAAAATCTTATAAAATGTCTTCATCATTTTTATTTTATGAAATATTCAAATATACACACAAGCGGAAATAATAGTAAAATGAACTTCCGTATACCCGTCACCTAGATTTAATTAACATTTTGCTACATTTACTAAATCTTTTTATTTTGACTGATATGTTTGAAAGTAAATTAACATGTCACAGCATTCCACCCCTAACTCTGTATAAGCCTTCTTCTTCAAGAGAGGCTATTTTTTCACCTTGAAAGATAGTTCTTAGAGAAGAGGCAAAATACACGTTTCACTTCCACTCTAATTATTAATTTTCAGAGTGAGGCTTTAGCGCAATCGCGGCCCCAGTGGCAAAGTCAGATCTGTGTTTGCAGGGACTGGGCATGGCGAGGAAAGATGTAGGAAACCTTTTCTCCTTTGACCTCGAGCTAGTATTCTAGCTCTGGCCCCTAGAAACCCACAAGGTGAATCGTCAGCCACTTTGCCGGCAAAGTTGCTCATGGGAAGGTGACAGAGACTGGATATGACATGCAGGCAGAGGACAAGAGTGAGCTCTGAGCCCAGCACTGGCTGGGGCCTTCTTCCCCAGTGAGCAGCGAGCCTCAGCCCGTCTCCTGCTTGTGATTCCAAGGAGGCGTCTCTGACTTCCACAGCTCGGATTCTGTGGCCTTCCCAGGGAACACAAAGGGCAGCCCTGAGCCCAAGGAGATCAGCACCTGTCTCACCTGCCCTGTCCCTGGAGGACCACTTCTGCAGCTGGAACACACACAGCCCCACCACCTTCATCAGCAAACATAGATCAGAAAGGGCCGGTACCAAGGAAGAAGGCTGGCTCGATGTGGTGGGGAGAGCCTGACCCCTAAGGACTCCAGGGAAGGTGGTTTCCTACCCAGCCCAGGGGCTGGTGGCCTCAGCCATCACGCGCCTGCCTGGCCCTATCTGCGCAGAGCATCACAGCCACAGAAGGTGGAAGAGCACGGCCAACTGCAGGGAAGCCCCAGCATCCTGGGAGAGAATGGGCCTCGTGGCACTGGGCCAGACCCTCAGCAGGCCCACGGAGCCCTCTTCTGTTCTTCAGAGAGGAGCCACTGGTTCCAAGCGTACAGCACAACTAGTCTGTGGGGCATGGACTGAGGGTCCCAGGAGGGCCTGGGGGCCACCACCCCAGGAACTAATTCTTGAGATGGAGAATCATCCCCTTCGGGTTCTTCCTCCAGCTGAGGATGCCTGAGAAGGCCACTGGGAGAACAGCTCCCCCGGGGCTCAGCTGTTTGGCAGCCGTCTCCCCACAGCAGGAAGGCCCTGGCTGGCAAGTGGGTGGGGCATGAATTTTGGAGGCAGCAAAGGAGGTGCTGACGGCAGCCAGGTGGGCACAGCCGGGCACATTCACTGACCTTCTGCCATGTGACAGCTTGGCAGCAGGCCACCCTCCACTGAGTTTGTGCCACGTCCTGTCCCCAAGCCATTGGGGTCTCCTGCCCAGCTCCACCCTCCCCTTGTCAGGCCTCTGTCTACATAGTGAGAGTGGGGTTTCCCGAAGCATGTCTGCAGAATGCTGGTTCTCAGGATGTTGATGAGCACTGCCTGTGAGCCACGTGCACAGCTAAGATCTCCCCATCACCTGTGCTTCCTGCCCCCCACAGCCGGTCATCAATGGCACTGAGGCCATTGAGGGGCCTGTGAGAGGAAGATAAAACCTCAGGACCCCAAACCCACTATGCCAAAGGGAAGTGGAACATGGGGACTGAGTCTCGCGGTGCTGCCTCCCTTCTGTGGCCACACAGGTAACTGGGGCTTCACACACCTACCCCAGCTTCTGTGAAATGCGGATCCACTGAGTGCAGAGCAGAGCCTGGCAAGGATGTAGCCACTATCTCATTGCCTACCCAGACCCCGCTTTTTTCCTTTCCTCCTTCCCCTCCTGTCTGCTCTTTCCTCTTTAAATATTGAAGTCCTCAAAACCCTCTTTGGGAAAAGCACAGGACACAGATCCCACTGGGACTTGCGCTTCTCCTTCCTGGGCATGGGCTCAGCCTCGGCGGAATAACCCTGGAATCGACGGAGATCAGTGTGGGCTCAGCCTCGGTGGAATAGCCCTGGAATCGACTCAGATCGGTGCGGGCTCAGCCTCGGTGGAACAGCCCTGGAATCGACGGAGATCGGTGCGGGCTCAGCCTCGGCGGAATAGCCCTGGAATCGACTCAGATCGGTGCGGGCTCCGCCTCGGCGGAATAACCCTGGAATCAACTCAGATCTTGCAGGCCCCATCCCTCAGGCCCGGGACACTTGAAGACCTGCCATGCTCAGGGGAACAAACATAGCCCTTTCCTGGTAACCTGCATCTCCCATCAGAGCCACAGAAACTACAAAGATGCTGCCGCTCCACACCCACAGGCGGGCTGGCACCCACCAGCTGAAACCCAGATGTGAAAATCTGCAGATTTTCAGATTTGGGACTTGGGGTGCATTTTGCCTTTTTCACACAGCTGTCTTCCCCACTGGGCACAAGGAGGAGCAAACCAAATTCCTACAGCACCGCCTGCTGCACGTGCATGGAGGGAAGGGGCACCCCAGGCCAGGGGAGGGCCCAGAAGGGCCGCAGCTGGTTCGAGTCTTCATGACCCAGAGAACTGGCACCATCCCTATTTCTGCACATCCCCAGATCTCCAGCACCCTGAAACTGCCAGGGAGCCTCAGGCCAGGCCCCGGTGTGATCAGCTACAGTGACATTGATTGGGCACCGATACCAGGTGTGCCATCCTCACCCCCATCTCACTTGGTCCTCACGCCCACCAAGGAGCTGCTATTCTTATCGTGTTTCACAGATGGCATAACTGAGGGCCCACACGCAGGATCACACAGCGGGGACTGTATAAGCTGGGACTGGAACCGGCTCCCTCTGCCATAAAGCCATCTGTTAACCATCCAGGTTCCTCGCTGGCCCTGCCTGTCTGAGCCAAGGTGTCTGTGTGTGCTCAGGACAAGGTTCCACAGGTTTGAAGCTGGTGCTGAGAGCTGGCTGGGCTGTGTCTGCTCAGAGCCCAGTCCTCTTCCAGGGCATCCTGACATGGCCAGATGGCACCATCTGACCAGCGTGAAACCTTCCTAGTGCCATGAGGAGGGGACAGGAGGCTTGAGGAGGGATCCAAGACCTCCTTAAGCAGCATGAAACTCTGGCCCAGCTGAGAGTCCCCAGCCCAGGGGCCCTGAGACCCCATGATGCCTCTCCCCAGCTGTAAGTCCAAGAGTCCTACAATGGGAAGCTGCTCAGTCGTCAAAAGGAACAAACGTGAGATCCATGTGACATGCAATGGGTCTCCAATGCATCACACTAAGTGAGATGAGTCAGAACCAAAAGATGGCCTGCTGCATGCCCCCATCTGCAGAACGTCCCGGAAAAGACAAAACTG